AGCCTATGATGCTTTAGATTTAGCCTAGTAGATCAACTGTTAGAGACAGACGTATCATTTTTATGGAATTATATGATAATCATATTCAGATTTATATAAGCATTTTACAAGTATTGCAATCATTGGGTAGAGATAATCATGGTATTTTCATCAGCTTGGTACTTTTTGAAACATGACTGTGTTGTGTAAACAATCTGCAATTTTTCAAGGCATGACAACTCGCCCCTATTTAATTTTCAAACCAAGGCCATTTTGCTAAATATTGGGCCCAAGACAACTTTTCAACTGGGACAAAAGGAGGACCTTATTCTGACCGAGCACTGGCTGGCGAAAGCTGCTTGTCTGGGTCTCTGAGGGTGCAGTCCAGCAGACGCCTGGGTGGCGGTTTCAAGCATAGTTGAAAAATTGCAGTTTGTCTGTGCATATGTTTGGACTCTTTCCATGTTGTCCTGTTTACAAGTTAACCTAAGTTGGGGTGTTTGTCACGGGTCTTCTTGTTTTTGTATTTAAATAAATAAAGCAGAAAACTGTCTTGCTACAGTTTTGCTGCAGATAGTTATATCCTCATGTGTAATGTGCGTGCCTACTGGCAAGCACCTTAGTAAATTATCAACTCACCGCTGTGAACCTGCCAACTTGCTATAACAACTCTGCTTTAAAAAAAAGTGTTTGTGATCAGGCTTTCTCTTTGTCATCGTATGTGCATGCAATATGATCAGTTGAACAATAACCATCAATAAAGTTTCACAAGATTTGAAAACAAAGTTTCTGTAGCATTTATATCTAAGAATGAAAAATAAATTATCTTTAAAATTGAAAAGAGAGAGAAAGAGACTATATTAACCAATAAAAATGGGGCAGCCACATATATTTATACTGGTGAGGGAATGAACTGAAATTTACTAAGAGTTCAATCCCCACATTTATTATGTAAGATATGTGAAACAAGCATCCTATTAGAAAAAAATATTCCATTTAACCACCGCGATAAAAGCAACTTGAAAAATGTTTGCCGAATGTTAGGCTTCCAATTCAAAGTGTGGATGATACATCTTTTTTTGGAATCGCTCACACAAAATGTCTAACATAGGGAATAACAAAATGTATTTGCAATTTTAATTTTCATGAGGTGGCTTTACAACTCCCACTCTCCAATGATTATATGGCGTTTTAGTCTATTAAAATAATCTTGAAAGGTTGAGGGTGCAGCCCATATTAGAAAATATTTTGTTTATAAAGCTCCTACAGTACTCCTAGTAGACATTTTAAAATATATGTCTGAAATAGTTATGTAAGAAAAGCATTTGAAAATTTTTTACAATATATATTGGGAATGTTTTCACTTATATAAATAACTACTGATAATAAGAATTATGAAAAAAATTATTACTAACATATGTGGAATATAGTGACTTCTAAACAGATTTAAAACAACACCCTACAAACCCAGAAAATGTGTATATTTGTCTTTAGAAATTAGTGTTTATATCACAACCGTGATTTGTGAATAAAAAAAATGGTTTGTAATATCAAAATAAAAGCTTAGTCTGAAAAGGTGAAAGTACATTGGTGTTCAAAGTCATTTTGCTTTTCTTCTTTACTTGGTCGAAGAGCCGTCCACGGTTGCACCGTCTGTACTGTACACAGTATATTTACAAGCAGATGTACTCTTGGCTGCCTGGAATTGGTGTTTGGGAGCCCGGCTGGGCAGAGGAGCCTGACACTGAGGTTAGTGCCTGCCCTGTGTGCCAGCCCTCCCACCCAGCAGCCCCCGCCGGGGCAGGGCGGGGGGATGTCGGGCAGTAGGGGGATGTATGGGGGAGGAAAGTAGCCTCACCAGTGACACAAGTTTGGCTCCTGAGGCTTTTCAGCCAGAGACCAGAGAATTGAGACTCATCATGGGACTGGATTGAAGGCTCACTTCCCAAAAAGTTCAATCCAGTTTAATCCACTGTTCTCCAGTGATGGATGGGAGTTAGCCAGAGGGTTAGCTGTCTTTTTCATGGACAGCTTCTATTTCTGTGCACCTGCAGCTACAGGGGGGGAAGGAAAGATAACTGTTCTGGAAAGCTTCTTCTGGTCACTCCCAGGTTTGTCGTGCAAGCCACAGGAAAATGTGCTTGTAAATTAGACTTACCTATCAGTCCAACAGATCGTGATGAGACTGGTGAGTTTAATGTGCCATTAATCGTGTCACATGCAAGCCAACAGATTTATGTGACTCTTCTACCTGGGTTCCTGTTATACTCTACAAGAGGAAGAGAAGACATAAAGATAAGGGATTAAATATTGCGTGTTGTGCAGTTCAGCTGCAAGATTTACTCTAAAAAGTGCTTGGATCCTTCTGGGAAGGTAAAGGAAGAAACCCTTATGTTTGCCAGGAATGGTGGGGAGGTATTACGTTATGCCTGCTTTATATCTTTGTATGAAATATGGGCACTAAATATTCAAGTATAAACTCCTCACACTGTGCATGAGTGATATACTGACAGTGTCTCCTTTGGTGACTGGATAAAATGATACAGGTGGTGATACTAAGTTTTGGACTGAAGGAAAGTGAGAAGCATGTGAACAGATAAGCATGAGTGGACAGAGACACACAAAGAACCTGAAACACCACATAATTTTCACATGGTTGGATTCATCTACATGTTGTCTGATATCATTATTTAAGATGTAATGCAGTAGTGCTGCCTTTCTTAACCAAGTAGCCAACACAAGCTAAATTAAGAAAAGTTTTCTATTTATTGAACAATTGACCAGAAAATAAGCAAAGCATCATGTGTAACCAAATGTTAAAAACCAAAATGCAGTAAGATTTTTTGGGTATTTTTTCCAATTGTTTGAGGTTTTAACAGCTTTAATTATAGCATATCGTATAGAAGAGATTAAATTGAATCTTTTTAGGAAATCTTAGAACTGTCCCTGTGTACTATGTCCTGTACTACTCTGTCCTTGATCATCTTTAAAGGCATTCAGGTTGTTTCTTAGCTTCCTATTTGGGTTAAGTTTATTAACTAGAATTTAATTTTCTTGAACTTCTTGGGAACTTTCTCTTCAGTTTGAATTGCTGTTGTGCTGTATTGCAGTTTCTTACCTCAACTGATTTTTTTGCAAGTTTGACATGTTCCTATTGCCACATTTTTTTCAGTTTTACAGTACAGATGCATGACTAAAAAAAGGCTGTGAAAATTATTTCCTCCTTAAAGTAGAGCTGAAATATCATTTTGGTAGGTGGAGAGGGAGAAAAAAAAAAAAAAGGCAACCTTGTTTCAGTGGGAAGAGAAGATTTGAGTGGGAGGTGAGATCAGAAGGTAGACAATGATTTTGGGAGGTCTTTGAAGAATTTATGAAAGCCTCATCAAAAACAGTCATCGTACCAGTATTATAAAAGTTTGTCACAATACTGCGTATACTCCTAAAGGGCATACGCTTCATCTCTCACAAAAACATGAGCTTTGTGCCGCGTCTTTCCAGGCTGAAACATGTCCTTACATCATGTAACTTGATTCATGCAGCACTGGAGATGTTTGCTTTTTGTCTGAAAGTGAAATTGTTCTCCACCAGCTTTTATGCCTCTCCAGCACTTATATAGTCTTCCTAATACCCATCGTTGTCTTGCAGCACCTCACAGAGAGCACAATGGACATAGACTAGCATCAGAAAAAAATCTAGGTAGTGCATGCCAGTATACCAGCTTGGATCTTTTCTCTTAGTGAGACTGTGGTTAGCACGGGGAGGAAAAAGATTAAAAGTACTTCTAGATCCAAGAACTGGTCCTTATTTAAAAAAAAAAGGGTTTTATTTCATGATGGTTTGTATTTATGTGGGTATATTTCCTATATCCATGTGAAAAAAGGATGAATCTCATGCAATGGCAGCATAGTTGAAACAGTGATGTGTGACTACCTGAGCATGTCACCACTTGACTTAATTGGCTAGGGTACAACTTCTACGGTGCAACAAAGCAATGAACCATGCAGATTTACCCATTCATGAAGAGCAGATACTTTAACTTATGCCCATGAAGGGACCTAGAAACATCAGTGTCATTTTAGGTGTCCGATCAGGCAGCATTCAGGGCCAAGAGCTCCTGTTTAGCTGTGTAGCTCTCTATAACAGATATTATCAATCTTCTCAATTTCCTACCTAATGTCCTACCAGGGTGTTCAAGATCTTGGTTTATATGGTTGGCAGTACCCAGTTAGGCAGGGCTACTGAGAATGAGATTTGCGTGGAAGGGGAGGTGGAGGCCATTCCTATGCCCACTGGAACCATGTTCAAAGCACTCACAGATAAATGTGGGAGATGGTTTCAAAATCTTCACTTGGCTCAACTTAATACAAGAATGTTTGGGGTTTGGTTTTTTTAATATGTGATTGCCAACTGTATTTTGGGTTGAGTTGTTCTCAGTTCTTTTGTTAAAGACCTTCCATTTTACTTAAATAATTAGTAATTGAGAAACATTTCTTCGATCATCTGCTGGTTGGAACTCTGCCCTGAATTCCAGTCCCTGTCCCACATCAGTCAGAGTGAAAACATGCTTCCATAACCCCATTGCTTGCTTAACACGAGTCAGAGGACAGTGGACTGTCCCTTCTCTTTCCCATGAGACAGGTTGGCTTGCTGTAGGTTCTCGACTCCAAGAAGGATTTACAGCTGAAAATCCAAACTGGAGAAAAGCTCATTGTGATTAAGGTATTTCACAGCACTCCAGTCTGTTTCTCAGCATGGCTTATGGCTTAGTTTAGTTTGCTTTCCGTTAGCTTTGATTTACCCATGCATTGCCTGAGCAGCCTGCATGCCTAACCAATTTAATTATTCCATTGTTTAGCAAAAGGCCTGTAAGTCAGGAGTTCAGTACACAGGAAAAAAACTGTTAAATAAAACATAACTGAATGCAAAAATAATCATTTAATAGAGATTATGAAAGGACAGTAAACCAAACAGTTCAGTCCAGTGGATGATGTATAACATCTAAACAAATATGACAACTAATTAAGGATTAGGTTCTGCATTTTGGATGACAGGCCTTATAAAAATGAACAGTTAGGTTATGTTGGGGGAAAAAAAGCTACATTTTGCAAATGTCAGGCAGACAGCTCAGTAAGCAGAAAAGCTCGGTTATCCAATTAAAATAAATGTGCAGTGTTCTCAGTATAAAGAGCTAAAGCATTCTTACGTTGAGGAGTTAAGATCCTGAAATATAAGTGGAGCAAAAAGTGCTCTCTATAAAGATGAATGTAATCTATCAAGATTAACATTTTGCATGCTGGCAAAGGCATATAGTAATGTGTTTCAATTCCTGAAATTGGAAACATTAGACTAAGATCAGTACCAATTTAAACCCCAGGTAACCCCAAATATTGAATTGAATTCATTATTTACAACCATGATGGGCTAATAAACTTGCCCTAATGGCTTCTATGGGAAATAGATACCTGCAGTAGGTGCTATCCTGTTTCCCATAATCCTCTCTGATACTTGATGTGAAATGTAATAATAAGTTGCATAAATGTAGTTTAGGGAAAAGTCTTCCACTAAAAGTAATTCCTGATTTATTCAGTTTGATTACTGTCCTAAGAAAGATTAAGGATGTTTTTGAACATTCTCATGTGCATAGGTATCATGAGACAGGCCACAGAGTTTCAAGACCACCAGTGGGAGACACAGTTTGACCTAAATTTTGTTTGTGATTTCTAAACAAATGAGATTATTACATAACGATGAAAAGTGAGGGGTGGGAAGAGATCACAGTAGCAATTAAACTAGAAACTGGGTTGCACGTCCATGAGGAAAGAAAAGTCTGTTGTCTAGATCTCCATGATAACTGCCAGCAGAACATATCTTTAAACCAAGGTTTAGACCTGCTCTATGGAGTTTCTAAGGCTGGAAACTTACAACTTCTCAGTAGAATCACAGAATGGTTAGGGTTGGAAGGGACCTTAAAGGTCATCTAATTCCAACCCCCCTGCCATGAGCAGGGACACAACACAGATTTTCTAAAAGGGTATTCAGTCAAGGCATTTGCAACAGAATTAACATGAAACATATAGATTTTCTGGTGGTTTATAAAGCAGAAAGTGAAAAATTATTACTAGGAGAGAGGCTTTAGAGGCTTTACAAGGGGTATTAAAATGGAGTTCAAGTTTCTGAGTTGTCTGATTTATAAAAAAATTCTGTCAAATGTTGACATGAGAGGTGAGAATCTCAGCTCTGCAGTGCTTGAGAAAGCATGGAAGATCATGGCTGTAACACTCCCACCTCTTTGATTTTGCCACCCACAGAATTGCCACCTTCTTGTGAAATGAGCAGTTGCACTTGCAGCTTACTGCCTCTGTTATCCTCACCTTTATTCTTCTAGAAGCTCTGTTTCACATCTTCTCGGGCACAACTTTTGATGTTCACTCAAAAGGGCAATGATCCACTGTCCTATTATTTGGAAGTGTGATGGCCGGGGGATACAGACATTGTTAATTTACAGATTCAGCTGATAAACTCTGTTAACTGAGATTTCATCACAGACTTGATAGATCTGGAGCCCTGTTGCTCCACAGTTAA